TCAGACAAATTGTGGAGTATTATTATCTTGGATGTTATAGAGACATCAGGCTTAATCCAGCAGGAGGTAATGGAAAAGGCTGCAATATCCAGGTACAGTATAAATGGACAAAAGTATTCCTAGGAATCTGTAATTATCTGAAAACTTTTTAAACTATTCCTTCAAACTACAAAATTACTACCATGTTGGTTCTGTAGAGCAGCAAAAATTTGTTTTCTGAGCAGATTGAACTTCCCGGAGTGTTTCCAGTGTGACCATGTGGTGGGATGAACCTCCAAGAGAGTCAGAACAAGAGCCCTCCAGATGCGGGTCCTGATCCTTTGTACATTTTAGATGTATCTGAAGGATTCTCCATCCTGCCAATTATAGCTGGCAAACTTGGACCAGTTAGAGCCTACAGTTCTGTTGAGAAAGAACAGCATCAGGCAGCACTTAATGTCATTTCAGAAGCTAACCATTTCCCTAAGGAAACATTAGAGTTTTGGCTCAGCCACTTAGATGAAAGTGTGGTGCTACAGAGACCCAAATCAGACAAATTGTGGAGTATTATTATCTTGGATGTTATAGAGACATCAGGCTTAATCCAGCAGGAGGTAATGGAAAAGGCTGCAATATCCAGGTACAGTATAAATGGACAAAAGTATTCCTAGGAATCTGTAATTATCTGAAAACTTTTTAAACTATTCCTTCAAACTACAAAATTACTACCATGTTGGTTCTGTAGAGCAGCAAAAATTTGTTTTCTGAGCAGATTGAACTTCCCAGAGTGTTTCCAGTGTGACCTGTATACATGTATTTTTTACAAAAAAAAAAAAAGTCAGGATGTCACTTTCAGAGACCTCTTTATATTTGGTATGCCAGAGCATGAATGGAATATGGCTTGGTCTATCAGAAGCTCCCAGGATAGTCAGCTGCTTAGTTAATAACTGAGGTCGTTTTTGGTGCAAAGAGCCCAGATTCACGTACATGTCAAACTGTTGTTGGAACAAACTGGTACTGCTAAAAGACAAGCACATGGTGTTAGAACAGCCAGGGAGGCAGCAACAAAGCTAGCTGAGGCAAGGAGGGGTGGGAGGGAATGCAGAGCAAGAGAAATAAAATAATAGAAATGGGTAGCAAAAAAAGTAAAATGTGAAATGGGTTTATCCCCTTTTGTGGCGCTAGGGAATCTCTTCTGTTCATGCTTAGTGATGGCAGAATATTCCAGACTGTTTATGTTCATTACCTTTTCTAAGTTTTGAATAAGTCTTTGGATGACTGGAAAAATTCTTTGCAGTAAGAACAAATGAGAAATTACTCAGACTTTTGTCATGTGCAGACTCAAATCTGTTGGCATGGAAATGCATCCGATAGCGCACTACTTAGGTACCCAATTCTTAGGAAGAGAGGCCTGTTACAGGAAAAGGAAACCTAAAATGATCTGTATCGAATAGGAGGCGTTTGGTATTGTGCTGAATGAAAGCTGCTGTTGTGTTGCTGCTCTCAGCAGTGTGGTGTTCTGTAGCAAGAGACCAAGCAAGGCTCAGGTGTGTTTTCCAAGAAGAAAAAAAAAAAAGTCTCCTGTATTGCTGTTGCCTTTAGTTAAAATACTTAAAGAAGGGTAATGTAAATTCCCAGACCAAGCAAGGCTCAGGTGTGTTTTCCAAGAAAAAAAAATAGTCTCCTGTATTGCTGTTGTCTTTAGTTAAAATACTTAAAGAAGGGTGATGTAAATTCCTAACGGGTTTTGTTTCCCTGTGGGTATGCTGCCTCCTTAACCAGTGCCCCCCAACAGTGTAGGTACTTCCTGACTTCCAGTTTTACTAAGCATTTCTGCCAGTCCTTCAGTACTGGGTGCTGGTGCTATGAATAAATCTCACTATCTTCATCTTGAAATATCACAGTTTCCAATACTGACACTGAGGAAGATTTAGTTCCATAGTTTGTGTGATGTGACATGTTTTCCGTTATTGTATGATGCAGCTGTCTGGTCAAATACGATCAAACTCAAAATGCTTATGAGCACTTGACTTAAGAGGAAGAACTAGTGTGCCTTTCTTAAATATCGTTAATGTTCTTTGCTTACTGTTGAATGATATGCTTTAGAAGTGAAATCTCTCTCATTTTACAGGTGTTTGCTTCACAGTGGAGGGAAGATTTTCCCACAGTATGTGTTGGTATATGGGATGCTTGTAGAATCAGAGTCGCTGTTACTGGAGAGTGCTGTTCAAGGAACAGAGCCAACTCTGGGGTTTAATATAGCCCCTTTTATCAACCAGTTCAAGGTACGAAGGTGGTGGGTGTCTTCCAGGCACAGTTCCAAAGCCTGCAGCTGTCTAGCTGTTCAGCTTTGGAGTTAACTGCAAGGTAACAGAAGAGCTGAGACCTTTTCATATTGCTGAACTTATCAAGGGAGGTTTATGTGACCAGACAGGGACCTTGAGATAAGGCAAACATTACTCATTTTAGTTTAGAACTGGTGTGGGCAAAGTTTTGTGAGTAATGAGAGAAGCAATGTTACTGTACAGAAGAGTGACTGTGCTGTTACTGTCTCCTTCATCACTTTGTATCCCAACAGTCACATTTCCAAAGGGATTCAAAGGGTGTATTTTGCATTTGGCTGTCTCTTACAGGCATTACAGTAATTCCTAGAAACTTTTGCATTATGATTAAGTCTTTTAGCTTTTCACTTCTTAATGGCTATTGATGCCTGAAGTTATGGTATATACTCTTAGGTACCCGTTCGCGTGTATTTGGATCTCTCTACGTTACCGTGCGTGCCCTTGAGCAAGCCGGCAGAGCTTTTAAGGCTAGATCTCATGAACCCTCTGTTGAACAGCTCCAGCAGGGAAGTGAAGGTGAGTTGTGTATACATGAAGGTAGAAGCACACTTAGCTGCTGTTCTGCAGAGCTGCTCACTAATTGCTCATGGTGGCTGAAAATTTCAGTACAGAATTTGCTTGTCTGCAGGTATCGCTGAAATGGATTGAAATGGTTTGAACTACTTTATTTTCTTACTTCTTTGAAAAGGGTGTAACTGCTAACTAACATTTTAAATATTTTTAGGTACAAATTTCTAAGTCTGGCCAAGTCACTGCAATTCCCTTCTGGTATCGCATACACCTAGATGAAGACCATAGCTTGAATACATCTGATGCGTCCTCGCACTGGAAGCAAGCTGCAGTTGTTCTCGATGAGCCCATCCACGTTCAGGTTGGAGAAGAACTTGTGCTTGATGTTCAACACCATAAAAGCAATATTAGCATTACAGTAAAACAGTGAAGAATGTTGTGTGTAAACTGATTTGTGGTTAATTGCCTATGCATAAATTGACTGTTCATAACATTGCTGATGTTAATTTATATTAAAGTCTAAATTTTATTTACTGCTTGAAAAGGCTGTTTTGTTGCTTTAATAGTGGATACTTAGGTTCCACTGATGAACTAAAACTTGCACTGTAAGGTTATCTTACAAAGCAGTTAGGGGAAGTACTGTCTTACTGCAGCAGACACGAGGTTGCTAGCTATTGCAGTGACAACCATGGGACAGACTTCTTGTGCTACATCTCATCTGTGGTGAGGGAAAAAAAAAAGCATCCAGCTGCCTGTACCAGAAATAAACAGCTGTGGGTGTTCAGGAGACAGTCCGAGTTTCTCAACCTGTAGTTCCACTTCTCTGTTGCCGGGTCATCCTACTTCAGTGTGTTGAGATGTTATGGGGACTGTAACACCAGTCCACTTACAGTATCACAAGTTAGTGTTGCACATAGACAATTATAAAAAGTTGTGAAGGAGCGCTGTTGAGTAACTTGAGTTGTGCAGTGGAAGGTAAAGCTAGTAAGCTTTCTAGAATCCCTCAGAAAATCATTTCTGGTAATATAACAGGCCTGACCTCTTGTCTGGAAGAAAGTTGGATAAAATATTGCATCAGTCACCACAGTACACATACTCCTACACCTCTTCTACAGCATTACCTCTTGGTATAATGCAGGTAACAAGTTCCTTCTATCAAATTTTATATCCACAGGGAAGACTAACACAAGCTTCTAACTCAGCATTGTTCCTTGTACCTCTGAGGCAGAATCACTGTTAGCAAGATATTTCTGTAGCTAAGTTTCTTTATATTTTGCTGCCTCTTCAAAGTAAAAGAGGCATTTCTGGGGCTGTTACTTAACAGGGACCTGTATAAAGAGCCATCCACAAATAATCTTCCTAGAATCTCACTGCACACAAGATCTGTATGTATTCTTCATTAGGTCAAATGCTTGAGAATGTTGAGCAATGTAAGTGAATTAGAGTAGAACAGAGGCTTTCATACTATACATAGAAAACAGCTTTTCTTAAAAAAAAAAAAAAAACAAAAAACCAAAAACCAAAAAACCAAAACCAAACCAAAACCCCCTCAAAAATACAAACAAAACCATGATTCATAAGATCCAAGTTGCTGTCTGATGCAACTAAACCTAGTAGGTGCAGGGTACTTTCAACAAAGTGCAGTTTTACAGAGAAGTGTTCAGGCTTCTCAGGCTGGAAGACCTCTGATAAAAGCAAAAATATCAAAACAGCAGCAGTTAGGCATATTTATTAAGCTTTTCAGTAATTAGTATGCCAGCAAAATGAATTAAAGAAAAAATAAGGACATATTCTAGCCTTACTCAGTGAGACTAAATAAAGGGCTGAAAATGACCCGTACTGAGTTTTCAAGCAGGGTGTTAAGTGAGGCAAGAGCAATCCTTAAAACTTCTGATTAAAAGGCAGGAGAAGATTAGGCATAACCGTATTTGCTCCTCTGTTGTTTTAATATAAAGATGAAGGACTATTTTCAAACGAACTTTTTATGTAAACTTGATGTGTCATGCCGTGGACTACTGTTGTCATTTTCAAAAGACAGGGTAGGTGTTATGGAAAGATTTTATTTATTTTGGAAATTCAGTAGTGATCTGTAAAGGGAAGGTATGATCCTATAAGTTACTGCAAAAAAAAAAATGAACTTTTCTCCCAGGAAAAAAAATGCAGGAATACCGTGCACATGCAATAACTGAGTAATAATGAAATAACTCACTCAGTAGCTTTCCAGAAATGCTGTGAAAGGTGGCAACCAGGACACTTAACTGTTTTCCTATCAAAGTCCCTTCTCCGTACCTTACCTAAGTTTTATACCAGACAGACATAATTTCAAGTATAAAAAAAATTCATCAGTGTGAGGTTTTTGAAAAGCTAGAACACAGTAGCTATTTAGCTTCCAGCAGCTCTGATCCTTCAGATGCTATTTCTACCAGTGCCCCTTTCTACCTGTATACATGCAGGAAATCAGATTATTTCTAATAGTGGCTACAGTGGGCACTGAAGTCCCCAGGTGTTGTAAGCTTTTACAAGTTGTTTTCTTTTAGAACATGGCTATTACATGCATAAAGAGATACCTGGAATCAACCATAAATAACCAGATTCTGATTCTTCAAAAGCTCAAACAAGAATTCCCTTTTTGGTACAAGCTTTAAACTACTAAAAGCACAAACTCTCTTACTAACTACAGTTAACATCCCCTTCTTCCTTGAAGAGGACAGTTGTATTCATGTGTCATTCACACTCTTTGATTACTGTAGCAGTAAATCAAATTGAAAGGTGAACAGTTTAAATAAAATCTTTAATTGCTTATTTACAACAAAGGCAATGACTTGGCAAATTGAAAATTATGATTTGCACTTTCCCACTAACTTCAGATACAGCAAGTACATAGCCAACTATAAAATATGCAGCCTAGTGAGTAAGGCGCAATATTTACATCACACTAGTACTGCGAAAAAAAGCACTTAAGATGAATTTACTGTGACAGCCAGAAGTTAAAACATATCCTGTAAATGCTAACAATGCTGAAAAAGAAATTTCAGATGTCACTTCAAAGGTCAGTGCTCTAGGTTTTGGTTTGGTTTTTTGTCAGATTGCAAACATGCAATAGCAGTAAAAATCTGGTAATGGGATAAAAAAAATATCCCACTGATTTTGTCAGTTTTTGCAAAATGACATTTTGATAAAAGTGTACTTCTTGGTCTGAAATCTAATGCTAGTAACTCCAGTATTAGACTAGCTACTCAGTTCTACCTTAGCAAAGGTCTTTTCCGGGGTGGTAGGGGGAAAAAAAAAATAAATCAACTATTACATTTGAAGCGAGGCTATACTAGAAGCATAATACAATAATCACACACGCACAAATTTATGAATACAAATTACTACAGACACACTGTCAAGATATCCTGCTTTAACAGCTTAAAAAAAACTTAAGTGTTAAAGAATTTACTGCAGCCCAAAATAAAGAAATCTGTTTTGTTTCCTACTTTTCCTTTTTGACAACCTTTATTCCACCCCTCTGTGTACTGTAAGGTAGTAACCATTATTCTTATTTCAGAAGGATAGGAAAAAAGAAGTCAAGTGTAAGGTATTAATCCAAAACCTATCATCCTGTCTGTCTCTTCTGTATATATAAGATTTATAAATTATAAGCTACGAGGACAACAGATACACCAACCATATGTTCCGGGCATGGAATCTTATGGTGAGGGATGTAGGGAATGCTTTCTTTGTATAGATTCCTTACTGATGCTCTGTAATAATTATCTTCACAAGGGGTTTTATATAGCTACGCAGGAAAGGGAAGAAGATGGCGTCTGTACAGAAGTTACCATTTCGTCCACACTCCATTCAGCACTGGGGTATGGAACTTATAAGAAGACAAGCAAAGCTGATATAAACACTTTTTGTCATCACCCTCCTTAAATTACATTCTTGAAATTAAGTTTTCCCAACGCTAGTAGTATTTACACTTGATCTTTAGAGCGCAGAGTATTTTTTTAAAATGTTTCTTTTGTATTAATAAAAGTCAGTGTAATTTTGACATGATATGTAAGTGTTTAGCAGTTCAAGGAGTTGATTAAGTTTATGCAGAAACCTTTACAGTGTGCGTGTTTTATATTCATGGGATACTCACAGATACTCACATCCATGATAGATTCAGAACCGAGATGTCAGTTACAGCCATATCCTCTTCCTGCCTGCGCAGTAGCTTTCCCAAGCTCTTCAACTTCCATCGCTAATGGTACATCTTACTAGAACATGTGTGGCAAGTATCTAACAGACTCCTTGACACACTCAAAGCAAAGGTGAGTCTTAACTTTTATGCAAAGCTTTTTCTGATAAATTGTGCTCTAGTTCGGGTGACTCCTCAGCGTCTCGAATAGCAGAAGTGTTATAAATACCATCAACTGCAGGGGCTGTCGTTGGTGTTGTGAGAGGCGTCACAGTGTGTCCAAACCCCTGATAATGACCCATGGGTGAAGATGGCATTGAAGAAGCATCAGAAATTGGGTCTTGAGTAGATGAAGACAATAAACTTGTGTGCTCGTTTTGTTCATGATCCTCAGCAAAAAACATTTTCCTTGGCTGGCCCAAAACTGTCCTGCCTAGAATTATGCCAAAAGAAGACACTTTTTTAATACTTCCAGCACTATACTGAGGTCTTTGAACACATCAAATCTAAAACGGATGTGTTAAATTAGAAGACGAGTCTTTGTTTTATTACAGTCTTACATTGTTAGCTTTAATAAATAAAAGGGATGTATTTCCATTTAAAAGAAAAAAAAAAACAAAAAAAATGAACTGAAAAGAACATCCCTCTCTTCTACCTAACACACCTGAAACTTACCCTGAGATCCATCTGTTTAAAAAAAAAATTACAAACTAGACTCTGTCAGGAGTACTGGAGAGAGCAAAGTGCCAGGTAAACCATGAAATCCTCTAGGGATGCAGCTGCTACTGATTTGGTATGAAATGTTCTCAAGGTACTGTAGACATAGGTGATAGTGTAAAATGAAGTGGAAATACACATGCTGTTAACAGATCATACAAATCCATCTGTTACTTACCAACATTCCGAACCTGTTCCGATATATCTGCCCTTATATCAGAAATATCCCACATTGCAAGGAAAGAGTCGAAGCATGACCCTTCTTCAGCCTCTTGAACATAAGGTTTATAGGAAAAACTGTAGTGATGCGCAATAGCAGCCAGGAACATCTCAACACAAATAATAAAATCCTGCAATGAGAGAGATACTGACTTAATCATTCATAACTGGAGAAAAATAGTTCCTGGGTGTCTTCTACAACTGAAAAACTGCAATTGCCTTGGGGTACTGGCACCAGCTACTTTTCCACCAGAGGTAGGATATTCTTGGCAGGCTTCAGAGAGCTGCATGTACCACACACATACTGTCCTTGCCTGAGGCACTGACTCGCTGGAAGAGAGTATTCAACAAGCAGCAGCTCTACGATGACTTCTTGCAAGAAGGAATGCAAGGATATCCAACAGGAGGATTTAACCTGGGCACATTCCTTCTGCCCAACACACGGGTATAGAAGTGTTGAGCATAAAACTCACTTGGGGTGACTGGCTGAAACTTAGCCCAATTTACAATAAATTCAGTGCTAATGTAGCCTGTGTTAATTAAAGTGAGTATGACAAAATTTGCTGGAGATCACCTATATCATCTTACATATAGCCATTCCTCCTAAGAAGTAATTGTCTGCTCCTACCTGTAGGCCTGTAGCCACAGCTTCCACACTTTGCCACTCCCAGGTATGTTTCTCAGAAATAACGCCAACTTTCACCAACAATGCAATAAGCACAGCTTGCCTATAAAGATTATTTTTTATTGTTATTATTCTAACAGTAGTGCCAAAAGACCTGCAAGCAAATCTGGTAAACAAGGCCTGTTCGTATGTATAAATATGTATGTACATAGGAAGGATCTTACAAAAACTTACCGTTTATATACTTAGATTTTAAGAAGAAAACAGACTTAAAATAAATGTCATTCATCTATGGTCCTGAAGACCAACAGAGAACAGAGGCAAATGAGAGTTTGTTGTTCCAGTTAGTTACTAGAACAAGTTGCTTCTCTTTCAGGGCATTACTGCAGCCCACGGAGGAATGTTCAGATAGTCAAATGCACTCACTCAGCAGCAGCTAAGTGTGAGCAATGCTTAAATAGTAATTTATAGTTAACTTACAGTAAGTTATTTTGAAAAAAGTTAAAAGTATTTTTTTTATTTTTTCTTCCAAAAAAAATTATTTGTTTCGAAATAACAGCAAGTGAAGATTCTAAAATTAAGTTATGTTCTTGCGAATCACAAAATAGCAAGTCTAAAAAATAAAGTGAAGACGACTGCTCTGTCCAACATCCTAGTACCCTTTTCCCCTCTCAGTACTTTACTAAGATTAAGGGTAACTGCCTCTAACAACAGTAACAAATCCAGCCTTTCAGCTCTTTGATGGTCCACCCCAAGAGCAAGAAGTAATGAGTAAATTATTCACTTACCAGAAAGAAACGAAAACTACCATCTTCACACAAAGGAACTTGCCAACAGGTTGGATAGGGTTCAGTTCTTCACGTAGTACTTTATAAAACAGCACCAGACAATACATGGCAAACTAAAAAGGAAAAGAAAATGAAGAAAAGCTTTCAAATCCCTGTTTATTTTGTGAGGGAGCTGGTTTTACAACATCTCTTCAGTTAAAAAATACATTACAGTACAATACAAACTTAAAAAGCTATTTTAGAAAAGAGGCTCTGGATTTATGGAATCTTTGCCTTACTGTTTTAAAGCAGACTTTTTTTCCTGAAATGTATTTCTCAAATGCATGGTATTGGCAGACAGGGACTTAGGTCATCTATTTACACACTAAAGCAAAGCATAGGAAGGTCCCATAAGATCTTTTCAATGCCAAGCGTATCTCTAGGGAAAATGGCATAAAAAGCACATGTTGTTTCAGGCTTCTGTTAACACCACCTCAAATGTTGCCTCTTTATGAGAGATGAGGCAATGAATGCAATCTTCACTGCAAATCTGAACGAATTTCCTACTAATGACAACTGCAAGCAACTGAGCTGATGTATGGCCAAACCTAAGGAACCGATCTCCGCTTCCTACGCACGTTCTCCTAGCCTCTTACTGCTAAATTTCTTTAAGCAATCATGTCAACCAGGTCATGAAGAAATATGTGCTGCTGCCAGGACTGCTGTCACAGCAGAAAGCAGTTACGGCTCCTTCCATCACAGTCACCCTTCAAACAGAGGGGTGGCCGTAGGAGGAGGATGCCCTTGCCAGGTGGGCTGTCGTGCTGTTCTGACTCCTGCTGCTGCTGCCAAGAGAAGAACTTTGAAGTCTAGGGACTGACATCTTACCCTTACTCTGACACCATCTGGCAGCTGAACAACAAAACAAGGTGTTTGGCAGGCCAGAATCTCAGCACTGCATGCACCCTTTCCATTTTTTCCTGTCAATGTTGTTACCACCATCTTTGTAACACAGTATTTTTAACACAGCCACTACTGATTCTTTGTGGGCTCAGAGGAAGCGACGGGGGCGAGTGAAGTCATCTCTTCTGCAGAGGGGCAAGTCTGCAGCTCTAATACACCTGGGCCATGCCAGTTCACCCATCAAATAGTCTGGGCTAGAGAGGTGGGACACTATTGCTTTATGGAGTTTTGCAGTAAAAATAAGAAATGTTTTAGATTATCTCTTTTCCTAGTATTTTGCATATATAGTATTTAGCAGATAGTAACTTTGACTTACTGTGGGAAATATTCTACCTGTAAGAATTACCAGACATTATCACAATTACTGTCAGTAGTTCACATCACAGAAGATTCCCATAATACTAATACTTAAAATAATACTAATAAATAATAAGAATATATTTAATAATGTATATTAATAATAAAATAATACTACTAATAAAATAATACTAATTACTAACACATAATACTTAAAAGAGCAGAAAGATGTACTGTTGATACTCACTAGCTGCGACATGTTGTTAAGTATAACCAAGTAAGTCCAAGCATTGTTGAAGCTGAAGTTCCCTTCATCATACACTCCCACTAGTTCACAGATTCTGAAAGAATTTTGAGAGTTAATCACTATGTAGTATAAGATCACTTTCTTCATTACATCAATCAACTGTTAGAATCCAAAATCTCTTTTGGTACTCAAATATGGGCACTGGGGAGTCTGCATAAGAATTGAGTTTCCAACAGCATATGGCACAGGAAGTTCATACTATATTTTCCATAGAAAAAACAGTGTTTGAATGCAGGGTTAACAGATGCCATTGTTGAATGAATGCAACAATTAAACATGGGAGGTTTTTTAGCTGTTTTGTTTTTAACTGTTAAAACACACACAGCAAAAATAAATACTTATATGGATATTCTTTGTGAGTAGCAACTTTCTGCAGAGTCCCACAGAATTAACAGTAATGACCATCAGTACAAAGTTCATGAAATTAAGCTTTCGGCATCAACGTGCATAACTGCCTGCTATTCCTTTACAACAACAGGTTATATGATATGTATGAAGGCACACAGTCAGGCTTGTCACATGCAAAATTTAATAAAATTGAAAAAGTTACAAGAAACCTGACTTTAAAAATAACCAATTGCTGAAGCCAATGAGAAAAGGGAGAAGGAGGAAAAAAGACTCTAAAAATTAAGAGACCGTAAAACGTCTTTCCCACATAAACAGTACTTCACGTTCTCTCCCATTGTTTTCAGCAGCAGGCATTAAGTATTTATTATTTCAATTCTGCAAATAGTCATTTGCTATAAAGAAGTCATAAAGAAATCATAGGTTGATTCAAATTACTGGGACCCATTTAGCATTGTAACACAACGTGTCTGCTTTCAAACTGCCTTGATTCAATACAAAGGGCATGAAAATTCTTTCCAGTGTAACTCAAAATTACATCCTGAAGATCAATATTAATTATTTATGAGCGTACTTACAAAGCAATAATAGTGGTAAATGGTCTGACAACAGTGTACTGCAAAACACCCAGTTTACATCTAAATAATAAAACTCTGCAAGAGAAACACAAAATTCATTGTACAAGAATTAAAAGACAATTCACTTGTGGAAGATTCCTGTTCTCAGTAGTTTCACTAAACTAAATTTTTATTTCACGGCAATTTAAACTTCTGCTTCCAGGACTTCAGATGCCAAACTACATAGTGCATATATACACAACAGACAAAAGACCTAGACTTTTATAGATACATAATAGGAAATACTCAATGATTCACTTCTTCTAGCCGTGGAAAGCTTCTCACTGGGCTAAACAAAGAGAATGCAATTTTCACTGTGTTTGAAGATGTTTAAGAATTACTTACATTCATAGTTTGTCTTTAACATTTTAAACAGCTTTATCAAAATCTCTTAAGAGAGATGCTTATCAGATTAAGCATGCAGAAACAAACAGTTTAGCAGCATACGGCCTTTCATCCTTCACCTGTGGAATTAAAAGCAATAGGCTATCTGGTCTACCGGTGATTCTACATGAGGGTTTTGGCAAATATTATATGATAGCAAAGGAAGCAAATTCAAGGAGACTTTTCTTCCTTATTTTTCGAAAAGAAGGAAGTTTCCTTTAGCACCACCTGAGTCAATGCATGTTAGTAACGAAATGCAATTTGTAGGATGTTTTACAGCTAGATGAAAACATGTTCACAGCTGCTTTCAGTAGGGGTTCACAGTTGATAAACAAAATGAGTACAAAACATAAACTGACTCTGCCAAGCCACAACAGTTATACTACTAAATATGAAAACACAATGTTTGTATCTGATTACACAGCTTAAAATTTTAAGATGTCATTTACTCACTCTCCCATAGCCCACGATGGACAACAACATAGAGGCGGCAGATGTCTCTGCTGATCTTTTGCTTCTATTATTAATACGAGGTTTGGATACCGGTTGGTTAGATAATTTGAAAGAAAAACCATAAAATTATAGATGACATAAGCTTCATAGCATTCTCGACATGTATCCACATATATTGCAATGTTGGGGTATTTCAAAGCTATCCACTGTAAGAAGAGAGGTACACAAAAGGTTACATGCAAGAAAGACAAAAGCGATTCCAAAGACAACACTGGCTGGCTAGTTCAGCAAGCAATACTTCGTTAGACAGCAGGCACTAATTAAACAGGGCTTGAAGCATTTGGCCAACAAGCACTGCACAAGAGATGCTCTGTATTTGACCACACGATCCAGTCTTTCCTTTAAAAGTAACTGAGATGGTTCCCTACCCATAACCTACTCCTGTTAGGAGGATACAAGACAGAACTGTTTCCTGAAATTCACATATTCACTGTCAATAAGGGTTTGAGAACTAAGTTTTTAGTCCATCAGTCTAAAGTTGCTTTCTTTTGGTATCTAATGTAAATGTTTGCTCTGGCATGTTTGCAAAATATAGAAGAAAGGAGCAGATTAGCCTTAAAGTGGCAGCGATCCCTCCAGACTTTCAGACAGAAAAGTGATTTTGTTGCAAAACTGTGATTATGGATCAGCTGTCAGAGCTTTCAGTTCTTAATTTTGAGTATCACACTGCTGTTGCACTGTTTCTACTGGGTCGGTTTAGTTTTGGTTTTTTTGGCAGGGGGAGTTAAATAGAGGCAGGTCTTTTGAGTGTACTTTGCTTCCCTAGTAGTGTAGTAGAGCAAATGTTGTGCCTTCTCTGACCTTCTTCTTACTAGAACTACAGGAAGATGCTTCACATCCCCATCACAGTTAAGAAATATTAGAGAAGACAGATGATGCAACACCTTTGTGGAAGACGTAATACTGCACCTAGTAAACTGAGAATACAGTATTTGAATCTGAGAACTTTATATTCAGCTTAGATTAAGCATTCTATGCAGCAAATGCCATAAGATCCAGGAGTCTGGGGAAAGGTTTCCATATGTTGGAAATGTCCCCAAATGATTGGCTAGAGCTCATTTAATTAGCAGGTAATTTTCTTCCAAAGGAAAATTCTGTACTTGAAATTGAAGTATCAACCTTAGGTAGTTGATATTCCCCACAGGAAACACATAGCGTTGTTTTCTTCCCCACTCTCCATCACTCTCAGATACTCTAAATCCCAGTCTTTCAAAAAAAAAAAATAATTGAGAACATACATAAGAGTAACACTTCATCAACACTCAAGAGATGGGAGAAAAATCAAAGCAAAAGCAAAAGTTCCTGGAAAGCTGTGTTTTATGGGGGAAACAGAAGCATTTGCAATGTCAAGAGGTGATGACAACATGTAAACACACATCCTGTACAGTCCACAGATTTAGAGCCAGTATGCTCTGGCTGAAATCATCTCCACAGGGGATGTACTTACATGAACCACATCTGGTATGGCCAATAGAATCTACTGCATAAGAGTATTCAGAAGTGGATTTTTTGTGGGATCTTACCCTTTGCCCCCTGAAGCAAAAAGGAAGAATTTTAGCTCTAAGCATAACTTGGGAAAGAATTTTAGTACTAAGCCTAACTCAGGAAACAAAGGTAAGGCACTGAATTTTGAGACCGTACTTGCATCAGTCTGGTTTCCAGTTCAGCTGTTACTGAAGATGGAAGGACCAAAAGCAGGCTCGTGGCGTACCCCTTTCCACATCTGTCATAAAGGATACTCAAGGACAGGGTTAAGAAGGGTTAGCAAAAGCGATCCCACAAGCTCCACAAGAGGAATGTAATATTGCTAGAACTACACTTCTGACATACTCCATAAACAGGAATGACCAGAAGTTTCTAAGACTACAACTCTCCATGCAGCATAGTTTCTGCTAACTGTGACACTGTTTTCCCTCACTCCCACAGCAAACAGAATTTTATTGAGCTGTTAACAGTAAGAGAACACTTACACTGTCTAAACTGTAAATCGGCACCATCCATAGAATCCTGTTACAATAACAAAAGAACATTTAATATTACTAGGAGTATTTTCAGTCTGAATTAAATTAAGCATTTGTAGGACAGGTAAAATGTGAAATGTTACCTTATTATTGGTTTCTGTAATTCAGGTTGAGTATAATGGACTAAGTGTTGTAGTATTCCCCAGAGAGATATTGGTATAGTCATTAGTAGAAATATCCCAGCGATAAACCATGCCTTGGTGTGAATGCCAACCTTGCAAAGAAAAAGAAGAATGCAGGATCAAAGTTTCAGTATTAATACTTTGAAGTTTTATTAGTATAACAAAATAACTAATTTATCTTCCTTTTTTTTTTTTTTTTACTGTGAATAAAGTTTTAAGATGTTTTACTGTGAATAAAGTTAATATTAAGTTTAGTTCTTCTGACTCTCCTTTTCAAATACAAAAAAATCTCAAAACCTCCCTTGCAACCTGTTGATGTGGCTTAGAGTAAAACTTAAAAACTCAGAAGAAAAATACGAGAAATTTTGCAGAACCAAACAAAACCATCATCAATAAACACAAAACGTTCTACAAAAACATACCAATGCTCACTATTTAGTTTACCGAAAGCCACAACAGATTCCTTGCTTTAAGTCTGGAACTTGCCTCAGTTCAGTGCCTCATTATAAAGTTTTGAAAACTTGTGGATTTAAAGTATTTCTAGCTTTAAAATCAAGTTCCAATAGTAACCGATTTCAACTAGTTTCATTTAACAATCTGAAATCGATATGCATGTATATTTATAAAAATACATAGTCTGCTGAAACACAGGGCTATGACTTTAAACCAAAGCTCTCTGAAAAATAACTATATTAATAATCCTAAGTACCAAAACCTGAGAAACACAGTAGTCTTCTCAGGATTTTTTGTTGAGAATTTCTTCTCTGATCCCCTACTGTACGTCAACACCTTCTGTTGCTTTCTAGTCCAAAGATCACTCCTGAGTAGTTTCTCTACCAGTATCAGATTTAACGATTTTGAAACTTCAGATACCATCCATTCGCTATAAACATCCAGTATGCTGAACATACGAAGGCATCAGAAGAGGGTTTAAAAATCCGAAATTTAAAGTATACTCAAGACAGATTTTTACTGTCATTAAATGCTTAGAATTATACCATGTAAACGCTCACCTCCAGTGGAACAAGCCTGTATTCAATTGGACAATACACATTTGTGTTCAATTGGACAATTCACGTGTGACAGGACAAGGGGTAATGGCTTTAAACTAAACCAGGGTAGGTTTAGACTGGATATAAGGAAGAAATTCTTTACAATGAGGGTGGTGAAACACTGGAACAGGTTGCCCAGAGGGGGAGTGGAGGCCCCATCCCTGGAAGCATTCAAGGCCAGGTTGGACGGGGCTCTGAGCAACCTGATCTGGTTAGCGGTGTCCCTGCTCCTGCAGGGGGGTTGGACTAGATGACCTCTAGGGGTCCCTTCCAACCCAAAACATTCTATGATTCTATGGTTTTAAGGTTAGCATTTTACTTTTTGTTAGAAAAGCTATCACGTGTGTGCATAATTCAGGCGCTACTGTTATGACGCGCTACGGTACCCCCGGCGTGGAAGAGCAGCTTCCCTCTCTGCCGCCGCAGCTCTCCCTGGCCGGACAGAATTACCGGACATACCGGGTTACGAAGGCCGGCGTTATTACTGCCAAGCGCCAAAAGAGAAGCTCGGGGCCGGGCAGCGGCAGGGCTCCAGCCCTGCTCCTCCAGACTGACTCGGGTTTCTTCACCATCGTGTCAACCGTTTGAACACCCACCATTATCGAAGCGGAAGGAGAAGGAGACCCCGTCCCATTCCGTCTCGCTCCGTCGGTGCCCC